TTTGATTGGCTATCCACTTCTCGGAGATTTTCGTGAATGATCTGCAATTTGTGTAACCGATAACTGTCTCCCCTCGAATTACGAAGTAATTGGATAAACATAAGACATTCGTTATTTTTAAAATCTGCAGAGATGGGAAATGCTGATGAAACATATATAACTCGAGTAAAAAATTGTTGTCTTGGGAATTGTGGATCATATGTCTTGGAAGTAATTCTTTGGATAATGCTCGCATCGTCGCTTTATCGTTAGCATTAAAAAAATTCTGTGCGAGGTTGTGGCGTAGACAAAATTTTTTAAGTTCATTAATGTTAGGGTTGGCGTTTAGAATAAAGTTAAAGGTTATTTAATAAGAACACTCAAGCAGAAACTTTTTGTTAGCACTAAAGGTGGTTTATTATGCAGATTTTTGACAAAATGCTTATTGCGCAATATGATCTAATAGTGATCGTTACGCAGTAAGTTAAATAAAAATCTATCGTTACGATTTGATAGAAACTATGTCGTGTTTTAGTAGTATGAAACTACGTGATAAGAAGTGCAGTTTATTATTGGAATTTTTTTTTAAAAAACAAGTGGAACTTGTTAAATAAGATTGGTTATATGAAACGAGGCATAAAAAGTTCAAACAAAATTTAAAACTACAATGTTAAAAAACACATCGGATAACATGCATTTTTCTAACTGATTGAATCATAATTATTAACGTTTTTGAACCAATTCAGAGCACAAACTTTAACGAAAATTTTTTGTTTAATTAAAGCAATTTACGGTTTTACTCTTCATATTTGAAAATTTACATTGCTTTGATAAATTTTATCGGTCTGTATAGCTGAACTTTTGATTTAAGAAATTTTGTAATCAAGGAAAATCTTTAGCTAGTAAAATCTAAAGAGTAAAATCTAAAGCTGAATATGATGCAGTATTCATAGGTATACAATTCACGGATAGATAGCTAGGAACGATGATTTTCAGCGGTGATAACTTGCTAATTCTATTTGTGCTACAGTTATGGGCTTTGCGATTTTTCAGAATAAAAAAATTTTCATCGATTTTAGATCGAAATATTCTCACTGGAAAAAACTGCCGCAGCTTTTGTTAGTTATCTAGGTTTTTTTAAAAAACTTAGAAGATATCTACACAACTACCTATCTAAAATCAATGAAATTTTTTTTGTTCCGATTTTATATGTACGTATAATTAAAATAAAAAAATTTCATCGATTTTAGATTGATGGCTGTCGAAATATTTTCAACGTTAGAAAAAAACTTAGATAACTATCAAAAAGCTGCGGCAAGTTGTTTCCAAACTTTGAGCAAAGCTATCTTGAAAACCCCTATCTAAAATCGATGAATTTTTTTATTCCGATTTATATGCCTGTATAATTAAAATAAATAATTTTAGATAGGTTGTCGAGATATTTTCGCTCAAAATTTAGAAAAAACTAAAGTGCGGTAAATCTTTGAGCAAAGATATCTCGACAACCACCTATCTAAAGTCGATGAAATTTTTTTATTCCAATCCTATATGTCCGTATAATTAAAATAAAAAAAATTATTAATTTTAGATAGGTGGTTGTCGAGATATTTTCGCTCAAAGTTTAGAAAAAACTTAGACAACTACCTATCTAGAAAATTTTTTTTTTTTTTATTTCGATTCTACGTATATATATGAATGTGTAACTAAAATAATGGATCCACATTTGAATAATTAATTTTGTCCAATCAGAATGCGACTGTTCAAGTAGAATCTCGACTTATAATTTCGCCTTGGCCGCATATTCCTTTCTTCTTTGTAAAGACAATGATTGATAGTCTTTTCGTTCTAAACGCAACAGGGTATGCCGATTTACTTAAATTATTTTATAAGTAGCTTCTATTAATCACTTTCGAAATCCTTTCTTTGTTTGCAGAAAAATTATTATAGAAAAACATTGGCGTGGTTTAATTAACCGTCAACTAGTAGATTATTTCAATGACCAATTTTCCAAACAATCTTCTCCAGAGGATCTTTTACCAATTATTCCAACACCAAAATACCAATTAGTGCATGTATATCGATCTGGGTTAACTTTTTTGAGTCCCGTATCTAATGAAGGTAATTTACTTGTGTGATCTCGATTCCTCACATTTATATGTTGAAAAAAATATATATATAGCTTTTTTTTATTCGTGTTCAATGTTAGTTGATGCGTTATTAGTCCTTGAATTTCTTCACCGGATTGTTGATATTCTTGCGGAATATTTTGGTGAATTAGCTGAATTATCTATTAGAGATAATTTCGATATCGTGTACCAGGTTTGTGTGTGCTGTGTTTATGAACGATCTTGTAAATTTTTCAAGTGTTCTCAATTTTTTAAATAGCTTTTAGAAGAAATGATGGACTATGGTAACTGTTTAGTGGATAATAGTCATTGTTTATGTTATTATTATCATTCTTTAATTTCAATTTTTGAATCTTTTGTTTTCATTTAGGATATCCTTTGACAACAGAACCAAATGCTTTGAAAGAAATGATTGTACCACCGAATATTATTAATAAAGTTATAAGTCAAGTTGCAGGTGTCACGAGGTAAGCTATGGAAAATTAATGATGCATCCAATAATTGTCAATATTTATTCTATTCATTGAATTTTGATTATAGTGTAGTCCAGCATGTACCTAATGGTAGCACTATATCAAGTATCCCATGGCGTAAAGCTGGCGTTAAATATACCAATAATGAAATATATTTCGATGTTGTAGAGGAGATAGATGCGATCGTTGATAGGTATGTGTGTTGAAGATATATTTGTATGTTTATTTCTTGAATTCTCATAATAATATATTTAATTAATAGTATTGTTGTCTCTCAGTAATGGTGCTATAGTATCCTCAGAAATACATGGGTTGATACAAGCCAACTGTCGTTTGTCCGGTAAGTGATTGTCATTTTACTTTTTTGCCGCTTTACATTCGTAAGCTAATTGGTTTACTCATTTGTCTTTGAAGGGATGCCTGATCTCACTTTAAATTTCGTTAATCCACGTGTACTTGACGATTACAGTTTTCATCCTTGTGTGAGATACAACAAATTTGAAAATGAACGTGTTCTTTCATTTGTACCTCCCGATGGTCATTTTAAGTTGATGAGCTACAGGTAAAAGTGTTATTATTAATTTGTTGTTTTTAATATATATTTATTGTATTTTTTTATATCGAATATCTAGGGTGAATTTCCCGCATCATCAATCTTTACCATTATATGTTAAACCTCAAGTTCACATAGGAAATGGCGGTGGTTCGTAACTTGTTTGCCTTTGTTTTGATTTGTTGAGTTGTAATATAATTGTTCTTTTTCGACGTTAGGAAAATTTGATATATCAATAAGCATAAGGAACACAGACGGGAGGCCAGTTGAAAATGTGTTGCTTGTGTTTCCTCTTGCCAAATCAGTGTCTAATGTTAATGCTACATGTAACCTTGGTTCTTACATATTCGACCCTGTTACAAAGGTAATAAAATATATATCATCCAATCTTTTATATTATTATTGGGCTGATTTATAATTGTTGTCACTTATAAAGAGTATACGATGGAATCTAGGAAAAATCGAACTAAAAGCTAGGACACCAATGTTATCGGGTAATTTTAGCAGCACGTAAGTTGGAATATTCAATCCTAAATTGTCCATTTCCTAAGGTTCTAAAATTATCCATTTTTAAATTATTGTGGCAGCTGATACAGAAATTTTATCTATATTGTGAAATTTTGGGCCTTTTTGTAGTCTTTTTTAGCTTATATATTATTAAATCACCCATTCTTAAATTTTATCTTTGAACTATCTATTAAATTGAGTATTTATCAAAAATTTTTTTTTGCAGTGAACAAACACCAGAGTCAGGCCACACGATTACAATTGACTTTTTGATCAACATGCATGCCATTTCGGGGCTCAAGGTGGATAGTTTGAAAATTTATAATGAGGCATATAAGCCTTATAAGGTCTGTCATGTATTTCATTAGTTTAATCTCGCAATTGTAATTTATTAAATTTAATGTTTTTTTCTCATTCTGTTTAAAGGGTGTACGAAGTATGACAAAAGCAGGAAAATTTCAAATTCGTACATAAATGTGAATTTTCTTCGAAGTACATTTTTATTATCATGTCTGAAGTAAATAATAGTAAGAGATTTATATTAAAATGAAATAACTTAATTAAATACAGACTTGTTACGTCAAGAAATATTCTACTGTACCAAGCTAAAATTTATTATACCATGCATTACCTTTTTTACTTTCGTTTGTCCACTTTACCCTTTATGGGATTCATTCACTTACCAATATTACTATTTACAGATGATAAAAAAAAACCAGAACATCGCTATCCACGATAATTGATCTTTATGTATTTTAAAGTGAACATGGAAATGTTAATATATTTATTGTACTGGACCAAATTGGTCAAATATGAGTTCGTTGATGAGTGACTTTTTGCTTTCAAGAACTGGAATTACTAACAATATATTATTCATTTAAGAACTATTCTATTATAAATACTTATTTCAATATATTGAAATTGAACCACATAAGTAGATATATAATGCTTATGATTTTCGTTCCAATAATTGTCCTACCAACTCTTTATGAATGTTAGCCTGTTTCTGAGATTCAACGAGCGAATTAACTGATCTTAAATCATTAACAATATCTCTTGTTTTTCCAAAATATACTTCCTGAAGTAAATTGCGCATTTTGAGTTCAATGTCTTCAACCATTCGGCCAATGTTAGCAATGTGAGCATTGGGTTCATCGAATGGGTAATCTGCATCGAACTATCGATAAAAAAGTGTAAGTACAAATAATTTATTATATTATGACGAATACTATGAATAAAATATTCACCGTTCTCGTCATACTGCCAGACAAATTCATATTCCCAAGTTCAGGTTTACTTGTAATCGTATATAGCATGACGGTGGATGTCAATTTATAATGAGCATTGCGACCTCGTTCATTTGCCTTGAAGACGTGAATCGAGTCCCAAGCACCCTTCATTTTACGAATACCATCGCCAACTAATAGGGCAAACGTAAAATTATACGTAATTCTAGAAAATAAGCTCCATCTTTTTTTTTTTATTCACCTTTTTTCAATAGCACGGCACCAGAAAATCCAGAATATCCATCTTGGTTTGGGTCATCCCAAAAGTAAACTGCAGAATGACCACCCTCGTAATACCTAATGTAAAAGAAGTAAAGATATTAAATAAAGGATTAACCAAAGACGCATAAATGTTATTTATAAGGAAAGTTACATTTCTCGATATGTATTAAAAGCATCGTTAGCTGCAATTTCCAATTTTCGTGTTTTTGGAGAAGGAAGCATACCACCTTCGAATGGTGGATCGTATTCATTTGACCATGGGGATCTACAAATATAATAAAGTACTAAATTGTAATAATTGTAATGGCAGTAATCGGAGATATATTTTAAGCAAAACGCGTATTATTGTCTCATGATCTAGTGTTTACGTACCGAAAAGAATCACCATCCCTATTAAAGGATGACTGTAAATATTCCTTTGTCGTTTTTGGGCATGTCGCAACTTTAAGTGGCTGGTCAATGGCATTAACCAAGTCCTCATGAAGGGGAGGAACGAGAGATATGAGTTGTGAAAGGTTTTCCTCGGTGTTTTGAGGAGGAAGTCGTCTCATAAGATCTAATGCGCATTCCAGTTGATCATCCTATTAAAGCAAACTAGTGTAAATTATATTGAAAAAAAAAATTTGTTACTGAAAAGGCTAATAGCACTCACCATTTTTAACGATAAAAGTTTGCGAAAGAAATTTTGATAGGAAGTCACGGTATTTTCACACAGAGAACGAACTTTGAATGGTTGATGATGATATGCAAGAATTGTATTGGCTGGAGATTCAAAATAGGTGGTCTCATATGATCGGTGACTTCTCACAAGAGATCGTGCCATTATACAAGAAAAATTGGGCAGCTAGGTCAAATTTATTGAGATCATGGTTTAATTTTGTACAACGAATTTGGCTGACTCTTTATCTTTAACGAGCTTCAATTATTCAATTAGCGTTCGAACACAATGCACCGCCTTACATGAATAATCTAAAGGGTCAGATAAAATTACGCTTTTTTTTTTGACGTCAAGTTCCGGTAGCACACATATTTAAATAATCGTAAAAGTACACATTGTTTAATTATTTCCTGTATATCTCAGGTTTATTAAAATAAAAATATATAACGATGAAATGTCGTGTTACCGATTTAGAAGTTAACATTAAATAAAATATAAGGTTTAAAATATCTGCATTCTACTTCAATTTAGTGATGATATGGTTGGTGAATTCAGTATTTGTGGCGGAGCCACCAAGATCACGCGTAAGACACTTGCCTTCAGCAATAGTGCTGAGGACAGCCGTTTCAATTGCATCAGCGTATGTGTATAGACGCATGTGGCGAAGCATCATTATCGAAGAGAGGAGGAGGGCCGTGGGATTTGCCAGGTCTAAAAATATTGATCGAATTCGCGTTTTTAAACATGAATAAGATCTAAAATGAAAATACCAAACATTCATAAGAGGCTTTCCACTTACCTTTTCCTGCGATATCAGGTGCTGTTCCATGAACAGCCTCAAAAATCGAAGCATCTTTGCCAATATTCCCTGAAGGTGTCAGCCCAAGTCCACCAATTAGTCCAGCACACATATCTGATAAGATATCACCATAAAGATTAGGCATAACCATCACTGTGTCAGAAAAACGGGCAGGATCCTGGACTATCTGAATTCGGCAAACACAATTTTTAACAATTGTTTACGTTATCCGAAATATATTTTGTTTCATTGTTACTTACATGGAGACACGCACGGTCCAATAACATATCATCGAACTGGATGTCTGGAAAATCTTTTGCTACTTCTTGACAAGCATCCAAAAACAAGCCATCTGATAATTTCCTATTATAAGATGCATTATTATATTGGATATTAATTTTAATAACGTACTACGCTTCGGTCAGTAATTGGTAATTTTTGAGTGAATAGTATTTTACATGATATTAGCTTTGTGTATGGCAGTGACACGGTTACGGCCAATATCTTTCGAATATGTAAAGGCGTAACGAGCACACTGTTCAGATGCATCTTTGGTAATTAATTTGATTGATTGGACGACACCATCTACGACCTAAAATTCAAAAAACATTTTTTTTTTATCAAGGTTTAAAAGTTTGTTAAGTACATAATAAAGATTTTTTTTTCTGCCTACTGTATGCTCAATTCCGGAATATTCACCCTCTGTATTTTCCCGAATCAATACCGTATTAACATCATCGTACGGTGTTTTATAGCCGACAACAGATTTGCATGGACGAACGTTTGCAAAAAGATTAAATGTACGACGAAGAGTAAGATTAAGGGAAACATGACCTTTCCCAATAGGTGTAGCTAAAGGACCTATAAATACAATATAAATACAATATAAATACAATATGGAAAATTGAGTAGCTTGAAACGAACGACAAATAAGTTTTGTTGCTCCCAAGATCGTATTACCCTTTAATGCTACCGTGTTTTTCTTTACAGAATTCAATGCTTCGTCGGGGATTACCGTCTTGCCCTTCTTGAATACAGGCGTGACATTTACTGCCTCCCATTCAATAGGTACCTGAAATTAAATATTATAAGTATAGAAATAATTTAATTAATTCTCTTAAAATATGACCTACCCCGGCAGCACCATATATCCGCTTTACAGACTCCGATATTTCGGGCCCAATGCCGTCACCAGGAATAAGTGTCACTAGGTAGTTACCCTTTTATGGATACAAAAAGGAATTCAGTAAAATGGAATTATCTAGGATTTATAAAAGAACTTTTCACCTTACATTAGCATTAGGTGGAGCATTAAAGGTCTCAGTTATAGAAGAAGCAAAGGAACGAAGACCTATAGACTTTAAAAGTAAATACAAAGACGCGAATTATTATATAACTGCCATAGTAAAACATACTATAAGATTATTGATTTCAAATTTCATGTTAGAAATGTACGTTGGATAAACCTAATGACTTGAAAAAAGAGAGAGATCTGGACCGAAGCATTTGTATCGACTAAAAATTTTTTCAACTTCGCGAAAAGCATTAAGATAGATAACTGATAATGATGATCAGTAGTAGGTTGCACAAGATTTTAATCTCAATTTATAAATGCTTGTACTGCGGTTTACACTTGTTCGTTGCGGCTTTGCAATAAAATATCAAATACGTAAATTTCATAACACTCAAGCTTTTCGGAAAATGCCACCAAAAAAAGCAGTTAAAGAAGAAAAAATTTTATTAGGAAGGCCGGGTAACAATTTAAAAATTGGCATTGTGGGCATGCCAAATGTTGGGTAGGTTTTAAAGTTGAAATTGATCACCTTCAAAAATGCCCTTTATTCATTGATTAAAAGATTCGATCTTTTTATACAACAGTAAATCTACTTTTTTTAACGCCATTACGAGGAGTGCAGTGGCCGCGGAAAATTATCCTTTCTGTACGATTGGTAATACATTTTAATTAACTGAATTTTTAATGATAATCACAAAAATTAAAATAATTATTTCTAACAGAGCCAGAAAAATCAAGAGTGGCAGTACCAGACGCTCGGTTTGATTGGTTATGTGAAATCTATAACCCAGCATCCAAGGTGCCGGCTTATCTTACTGTTATTGACATTGCAGGGTTAGTTAGAGGTGCGGCTTCTGGTGAAGGATTGGGTAATAACTTTCTCAGTCATATTCAAGCCGTGGATGCTATTTTTCACGTTGTCCGTATCCTTTAAGTTTTATAATATCCACAATAAGGAAAACAAAATCCTTATTTGTTTATCTTTAATCAGTTAATATCAACTTGATGGAAATCAGGGGCATTTTCCGAAGAGGATGTTACTCATGTTGAGGGAGAACTTGATCCTGTAAGAGATTTAGAAATTATTCATCATGAACTTCGTCTTAAAGATGAAGAATTCCTCACCAAAAAGGTTGAAAGTCTGGAAAAATTGACGGCTCGCGCAGGGAAAGGCGGAGGTGCAGCAGATAAGGCAAAAAAGGAAGAATTGGTTTGTATGAACTAAATTTTAGGTGACATAATCGTGCTTGATATCAAAAGCTAATTTGTTAAATATGTTTTGCATAGGAAATTATACAAAAAGTGCTTAACTTGGTAAAAGAGGAGAAGAAGGATGTCAGAAAAGGTGATTGGAATAATAAGGAAGTAAGTGTGTTATAAAGACATCATTATTATGGGGTATGTTAGATAGTCGAAACTCAATTTTTTAAATAATTGCTATGATAGGTTGCAGTTATCAATACCTTACAATTGCTTACTGCAAAGTCAGTAATTTATTTAGTTAACTTGAGCGAGAAAGATTATATTCGTAAAAAAAATAAATGGTAATGTAAAACGATAATTATTTATTTATAAAGGGGGTATTAGTTAAATGAATACCTTTATATTAGGTTAGCAAAGATCAAAGCATGGATTGATGAAAACAACCCTGGAGATTTATTACTCCCTATGAGTGCAGCCCTTGAATATCGTCTTTCAACTCTAGAAAACAACGAAGAAAGAGAAGCGTTGCTAAAAAGTTTAGAGACCCAATCAGCACTACCACGTATTATCGTTACAGGATACCAAGTACTTCAATTGATATATTTTTTCACCTGTGGACCAGACGAAGTTAAAGCCTGGACAATTAGGGTAGGTTTACATTTTTGAGCTAGAAGTAAGGAAAATAATACTAATATTGGCATTTTCATTTTTATTCATTTTTTATTTCAGAAACAAACTAAGGCTCCACAGGCAGCCGGAGTGTATGTCATTTGATTATTTATTATATTTATTTAATTCTATTAGCCGAAAGACTTTTTCAAATCAGTATCACTATATTAACATTTTTGAAACAATCCAGGATTCATCAAGATTTTGAAAAAAGTTTCATTCTCGCTGAAGTCATGCGATATGAAGATTTAAAAGAACTTGGGACCGAAACAGCAGTCAAAGCAGCAGGAAAATATATGCAAAAAGGAAAGGAATATGTTGTAGAAGATGGTGACATTATTAATTTCCGAGCGGGCCTTGCAAATAAGAAATGAGTTAACCAGTTTCTTTTTTAAACATAAACCGGACTTTAATTATTAAAAATACATGTAAATGTTTTAACAGTCACAGAACATATCCTTATACAGGAGTTTTTATTGCTACACATGAGTCAAATGAGTTGATACACTAAATTTTATATGTAAATTTTTACAAAAAATCATTAAAATTTAATAATTTATTTAAAAAAATACATATCAATCTTTCTTGAAACTTTAAATATATATTCTTTGTCATTTTATAATCTTTTGTTAAAAACCTTGTTTTTTAACTTCTAGTAGTTTAAAGAAAATCTTTCATTAAAGTTGATGTATTTTTTATTTTATAATCCCTGTTAAGTTAAATCAAATAATTGACTTATTTAAAGCAATTATATGATTGATTAAAATAATCTTTTAAAAATTTAAGAAAATTTTACTAAGCAAAGACTTTTTCTACTTCTAAGTTGTAAAGAAGGTTATTCTGGCTCTAATAGTAGTTAAATTATTAAAATTGACTTGGTGAATCCTAAAATACTTGGGTTAAAGGTGCAATCTGTAAATTGGTGGTTATATAAAGTATTATGCATTTACTAATTTCCCTTCAAAGGTTCTATTGGTTAGAATTATTTACATATCACTTTTTAATTAAAATGTAACATCTAATTTAGGGTTTGGGTTAATATTAATAGACAACATTATATCAAAATTTTGCAAGAAATTTTTTTGTTGATGTTTAAAAGATAATTTCTTAAATGAAATTTTAAAAAAATAAGATTTTTTGAAAAAATTGATTATTGTTTTGATCTTTATATTTCATCTGATCTTGCATTCTAATTGGTCAAAATTAGAAATTTTGAAAGAAAATTAATAAATGCAAGTATTACATATTATTACAATAATACTTTATATAATTACTAATTTGTAGATCTTTATATTTGTGCTTTTACCTCCAAGTATTTTGGGATTCATTAAGTCAATTTAATAAATCTAACTACTGTACTATTAGAATTAGAATAACCTTTTCTATAACTTTATTTAGAAAGAAAAGAAGTTTTTGTTTAGTAAAATTTTCTTAAATTTTTAAAAGATTATTTTAACCAATTATATAATTGTTTTGGATGTGTCAATTTTTTGACTTAAAGAACAAGTTGATAGATATCAAAGAAATAAAAAACCTCGATATAATCCTACAATAGAAGTAGAGACAGAGTCTCATTATATAGTAATACCAGTTTCAAAACCTGAAAAGACAAAATTCGAAGAAGAGACAAAATCTCGAATCTCTGATTCTTCCT